TAACAAATTTCTGCTAACTGCTAACAAATTTCTGCTAACTGCTAACAAATTTCTGCTAACTGCTAACAAATTTCTGCTAAACTGCTAACAAATTTCTGCTAACTGCTAACAAATTTCTGCTAGCAATTATTAATGAACATATCCATTACATATAAACTTATCCAATCCTTAGGAGGAATATCGCTACTCGTAATCTTTACTTGCATTATTTCAATACTCTTGCAATGTTTCACATTATTGTCTCTTATAATTCTTATTACTCTCTTACGTCTCTTCAAATGAATAATATTTCTTATTTACAACGAATTCTATTAGCGTACCGTATACAATTACTATTACGTACTGTATTTTGTTAACCTTATTATTGGTACAATTTTAATAAGATTAAGCTACGTGTATGTTGTGTCGTATGTATACGTCTTACTTACGTCAGTAGCAATATTGACGTGAATGAAACGTATATACACGAGGAGAATACGGAGCACTTCTTTGTATCATCCATTCGTTGTATCATTTAATTCTTTTCGAATGCTATTGTATACTGCTATATAGATATACTAATCATTTTAAAATATCGTAATTCCTTGAATAAAAGCAAAACATAACTCTTCATATTGTTTTTATGTAAAGCAATGAGATACTTGAATGTATGAAGTGTTCAGAAAGAAAAAAAAACGGAACAAAAGGATATTATATGTTTATTTCTCCAGAAGAAAATACGAATAAAAATGATTTTCATTCAAAAGGGAAAAAAAATGAGACATTGGAACAGTTAGTACAGGATAACGAAGAAAGAGAGAGATATTCTTCCTAGAAGACAAACACAATCGTTCTTTCGTATTGATTATCAAAAAAAAAAAAGTGTTTTTCTGAATTTTGCAGAAAATTTAAGTCTGAAACGGAAAAAATAGTCAAGGAACGGGGAATAGCGTCGAAGATTGGAAATAAATTTGTAAATTAATAAAAATAAGAAATGAACTCGAAATAAGTTTGCAAATGAATAAGAATATGAAATCGAAATAAGTTTGTAAATGAATGAGAATGTACATAGGGAAGGTACAAAGTTTTCAAAACAAGGTACAGGATTTTTAAAACAAATTCAATTGCTTCCTTTTGTTAACTTTAAGTCTTCTCGGAAACCGATAAAATGAGAAAAAAAGATGGTAACATAGTCTGCTAATTGTGATCGTTACAGTATCCATCAAAAATAAACGTTAGACTGAAATTCATATAGTGAAAGTGATAACATCTTACTGGAAGCGGTTAAGACTTTGAGATTCAAAATCATGAAGTTTCACTTCTTAAGAGAATTTCCTTTACCAAAGTTCATTATCACTAACATTTGGAACAGCCAAGATTCGATACATTCCATAATTACTCGTGGCTTTAGGAACTTTATTGATCAAAGAAATGCATTAAATGAAAGTCAGAAATATTCACTTGCGTATATATTCATATCTTACAGGCATTCTTCAAGCCGATGAATACATCTTAATCCATTTAGAAAACCGGGGAGATTGATAAGATCGTATTTGAGAAGCTGAAAGCACACAAATAAGTGTTCAAAAGAAATTTACACGAATATATTGGGCAGCAGTACCTTGAAATGAAAAATTAGATAGCAGTGCTTCGACATAAAAGCAAAAAAGAGAAGTGATACAAAGCTCTGACAGAGAAGGCCGAGAATTAGACCAAAACTCCTTATAATAATTTCAAAGCAACAGACTTCTTTATTAATACATCTGAAGTAACAAAAAAAAAAAAGGCTAGCTTTCCTTTTGTATCGAAGAATCGCATAAACAATAATAAAATTATCTTAACAAAAAAATAAAAAAAAAATTAAGGGGTAACAGGGTTGACGGCAGACGGTGAATTGAGAGGCTTTATGCTAACACTGTGATTCATGTTTCACTTCAATTTTTTCAACTGTCATATCCGGATTCATATTAGTCGCTTCCAAAATTGCTTGGCTCAGTTCCTGCAAAATGTTCATTGTTTGTCAATTTTGGTCTCTTAGACAATTTGAGGAGTTTAATACAACGCGAAACAGTGATCCATAGGAGTCAGATATGGGGGCTCGAAAGAAATTATGATCTAAGCAGATTAATGCAATGCATAAAATATTATTCCTTTCAGAAACGAAGAACATAGAAAAAAGCAACTATAGTGTAATTCGGCTGAATAGTATTCTTCCTAAGTGAAAGATTCTTTACTTCAGAGTTACCATCTCAACAGGATATCAACAAATAATTTGAAAGCTTGTTGAAGCATATTTATCAGGAAATTCAAATGAACTTACAGCATCATGGTCAATATCATCACAAGAATGAATAGTTACGCGATGTTCAACGTGAGTCTCAATGGCACCATTTTTCTCAGTCTTATACTGAAAATGTATCGGAATACAAATAGTCCCCGAAATACAAACAGATAATTTATCAGATTAGAAATAAGCAGTATAAAAGTAAAGTCACAGATGTCGGAAAAACCGAAATAGCTGTATCATAGAATCATTCATTCAAATAGATCGCATTTACATTTTTTTATTCTCTCATGCTCAAAGTCATGAGTCAGCTATCTAATCTACTAAAAGTGCTTTTTCTGATGCTAAGATTTGTGCATATCTAGTAACTAATTTGCAAAAATCTTTATCCCATGCAAAATCTTGTATACAATGGTGAGAAAGCTGTACATTAGATGAAATAATTTCTATGCAATTTTTTCTAAAGAAAACTATTCTCATATGTAAATTTCTCTTGCACCTATGAGAATACTGTCAATATGTAATGATTGTTCCTCTTCACACATCCCATATAGAAACCCCAAGAAACTCTAACAAGACCGAATGTTAATTTTCTCCACGTCGCCACTCAACTCTACTCAACACAATCTTGATTTATTTCCTCTCTGTTTACGAATTGTTACTTCAATATTTCTCCCATTATTCTACGTTATTAATTTGGGCTTCATTCGACTATAATCGGAATTAGTTCTAACCTATTTTTATTGCATTTGTTATTTGAACAACAATAAATGATAACTTCTATAAAATCAGTATTCAGTAAGTTATTCTTTCATTCAGTAAGTCTTTATTACTAACAAAAACAGTAATCCTCATCTTCTAATTCTCTTAATTTTTGTCACGACAACAGATGTTTCATTGAACATTAAGCGTTTCTAATCGCTACTTACGTAACAAGTGCCGTGAAGTGCATGATGTCTATATGATCCATAATATTTATTAAACTTTTCTTATTTTAAAAAAAGTATCTATTAAGCTGTGAATGGAACAAATGATTTTCTGTGAGGCAATAGCTTTTTGGAATATTACTTTTAGAATCAGGAAAAAAAAAACAAAAATCTCCTTCAAGATGAAAAAAAAAAAACTTTACAGTTATCGTTTCGATGGTACGATTGCCTTGAGTAACAGTATGACTGGAAACCAATTCTCCTGGAATATCTGAATAATCATTTCCATTGACTTCGTCCACACCACTCGTTGGTTCATAAGTTAATTTATGGTCAACTGTTTCAATAATCGGTGCATGTGAGTCCGTCACATTCACATCATCACTAAGCGTAAATGACTTCTTCATTGCTTCAGTCACACCCATCTCCTGTAGAAACAACAACTCATGAAAGTCTGAGATCATGCTTTCTTAAAGTTCATTAGCATAAACTTGTATTTGTCCCCTCTACAAAAGATTTTGGTTATCACTAAACATTATCAATAGGGGTATTAAATGATGATCTGCAGACTGCTTATATCCTTCTCTTATATGCTTATATCCTTATATATCCTTCGGTGATTTAGTTATGAGGGAAGAAACCAAACATTAGGATGACGGATTGTTTAGCTAGAAAAAAATTAAACAACGCAAATGACCCTTATTCGCGTACAGATGCTAATCATTTTACTCCATTTTAACAGATGCAATGAGACAATTCTGAAAGAATTTGCGAATGATTAAGTACACGCAAACCATTGGTAAATGATTAAGGAAAAGCAGGATTTACTAATATTGCAAGCTCATGAAAAACATTACAGAATCATCATTCCGACTCAAAAGATCAGATGGTTGATACGTTTGCTGTTGCACGGTGCCTGTCACTTGCCGAGTTTTAATCGTCTTTCTGCAATAACAACATAAATGAATATACAAATCAGTTTAGATCAATTCTCAGAAAATCACGTACCAGAAAAAGCAGTACTACAAAATCGGGAAGTTTTTCCAATCTTAAAGAATTCCAGCGCCAATAACACTATCTAATATTACAGCTATAAAACTAGATGGTTATATTTTGGCATTCTAAAGCACCCATTAAACTATACCTCACTTTCAGAAGGTTCTAAACAATTGTTTTAAAATGCAAAAAAGAGAAAATCTCTTGGAACAATCTGAACAAACTTGACAATATTTCCCTGATGATCAACACTATTGACTACTGTTTCAGGTTCATTTACTGTTTTCTGCCATGATTCAACGTTTGTATGAGGAAGCGAACCAATCTGTAACAAACAAAACAAAGTAGAAAGCATTTAAAATAATTGCACAATACTGAAAAATGAGAAATGCATGCAGGAAAACTAAGAAATATCACAAAAAACCTGAAATTTTTGGAGCATCTCTGTGTCCTAATCTCAAGCTCACAATGCAAAACAATCTATTTTCAGCACTTGACCCTATCATTGACTAGAGTACCAGAGAAATGATATCAATTTTGTATTGGAAAGTACAAAGAATATCTAAAAATTTTAGCTAGAAAAATTTTCGAGCTTCCATTCTCGGAAATAAAGTATTTAAAAAAAGTTAGAAAATTCAGTCAAACAAACGGAAACAAATAATTTTCAAATGCGGTAAATAGTTTGGTAAAAAAAAAAAATCTCTAATCGAAAAATTTTTCTTTAGGAAAAGCAAAAGTGAGTTGACAGCATAGATTTTAAGACTAGCGAAGTATACGAACAAGTCCAAGACGCATGATATTTCCACTTATGCCCCATAAGAAGTACAAAAAAAAGAGTAAAAGAAAAGAATCGTGGAGATATAAAAAACAAAACAGTAAGTCATAATTTTGAATAACTTGTTCGAAAAAATAAACTGCAATATTTTGTTTGAAAAATTAAACGCATTAAAAAAATGTAAGCATAAAGAAAGAGAAAGTTCTTTGTGCTTTAAGTCTAATCATTATACTGTGCAAGTCAGCGGAGAAATCCGTAAAAAAGGCTGACCGAGGACCATCCATTGCGCTACTGTTTTTTCTGCTACTTAAACATTGGATCTTAAACATTGCAGTATAATCACGACACTGTTAAATGAATGAAATTATTAACTTTATTAAGAAATGGAAGTAAAGTGAGAATCCGAAGTATAGCATAACCGTTAAAAGATTGCCATGTCATATACTCACACTGCCACTTTCATAATAAATGAAAGTAATGAAGCAAATGTTTCCATTTTTAAATATATAATAATGTTCACAGCCCATCCAGTACTCTCCAATGTATTTTTCAGTGATTAAAAATGCCAATTTCTTGAAAATCATCTAATGATTCTTTAAACAGTTTTTAATTTCAAATCAGTACGTCATAAGACATCGTATTTTCCAATTTTTTTTTTGACCTCACATTATTTAAAGGGTTAAAGTAAGGCTGGAAGCAGAAACAAAAAAAATATGTTTCATGGTCCAGCTTCATAATACTAATCGGACAATAAAAGGGAAAATCCATCAATCATATGGTAGCTATTAATCTTTGCCTGATTTCAAACAGACCCATTATTATTCCATTTTTGAACTCTAAAACAATGGTCGATTTTTTCTGAGTCGATTTTATATAAAAAAAAAAAAATATTTTATGAAGATAGGAAGAAATGGGAAAAAAAGCAAAACAAACTGATTTTGAAAAAAATGCAAAGTCAGTCTCATGCAAAAGATAGACAAATCAGTGAGAAAATTAGAAACTTACTAATAGCAACACGAAAAATTAACAACTTACAACATCAGCCGGATGGGTGGCTGGTACAAAGTCGACATCCTTCAGGTCATACATTTCTTCCCTGCGTTCTTTGAGCAGCATGCGTCGATCGTCTAGTTTTGCTTCATCAGAAGGTAATTCACCAATCATTTCAGACTTGTCTGCATTTTTCTGCAACGTATTTATTGCGGAGTGGAAAGAAGATAAATTAAGTTGCAAGATATTTGAAACTCGAAACAAGGAACTTACAGTAATTATTTTAATTATTTAACAAATATCACGCAATGCAAACGCTGCAGGACAACTTTTTAAGTATTACATATCTTATAGCAGAGTAGAATGCCTATGTGACGATTCGTGCTTTATGAAATAACAATTAATTCATATATCTGCTTTTAAAAATCAATAAAAAAATACCTTTGACAGACTGGAAGACAAGGGATCATAGTATGATCCAACTTCGATTTCAGATGCATTGGAACCTTCGCTTTCACGTGGCGATGCACTTGTTTTCGATTGTTTCTTTCCTTTCTTCGATTTCTTTTTAATATCTGATGATGGCGATGTTTTGGTAACTGCCTAAAACCGAAATAGATCATAACAGCTAAACTAATTTCACTTCATGTGCTTACAACACAAATACTTTTCAGTGCTTTAAAACATTCCGCTAATAGAAGCTAACTGACAACAAAAATTTTGTGTGTACGGCTGATTTTTTGATAATTTCGAAATTTCACAACAAATGAAACAGAGACAACAAAAAGACACAACGATTCAAAGACCAATGTCGCATAAAATGGCTGCATAATTTTTATCTGAAGGAAACGAAAAATCGCGATTTTCGAAATTTCAATTGCCAGTCATGAAAAACAACATGAAATCACTAGCTCCAGTTGAGGAATAACTTAAACTACGTGGACAGCAACCATATGATAATTAGAGCTACAAACCGGAAAAATATACTGAAACAAAGTGAAAGAACAACAGCCTAATTGAAAAGGAAAATGTGCAATATAGTAACAAATTATGACTCCAACTATTTTCAACTACAAAAATTCTAAAAAAAGCAAGAAGTCGTGTATCAATTTTGTATTATAGCACACACCTGCGTTACTTGTCGCTTGATTTGCTCCACAAAACCATCTGGTCCTTTGGGGTCCGTTGAATGAGTCAGGACTGGAATATCTGGAGGTGTCTGAGTAAATATATACGGTTCATCTGGTATTTCACCAACACTTATTCTACTTCGATGAAATAACTTTTCAGTTTCGAAAGTTTCCGGCTTCGTACACTGACTTTCGCGTCCTTCCGTCTGGGTACCTAACTTTTCCCAGGTCAATTCCGAAACAAACGTTTCCCCCAACGAGGTTTGTTTTCTCACATCAACCGCAGATTGTTCTTGTCTCCAACTCTCCTTTTGATCTTCCGATAAAGCAGGCAGATCATTACACTCTTTCATTTCTTTCGAACGATGACTAAACAACTGCCTCCATTTACCTCCTCTTCGTTCTCCAGTTTCAGTAACAATTTCATCAGTAATTACTTCATCATCTGGTTTTTCAGCAGCTAAGTTTTGAGTAGTTGCCAGCCCGATCCGCTCCGTCGCGTCACCTGCAGTTGCTGGGGTAGATATTTCCATATTCTCAACAAAGGCCGGGAAACTGGGAACATATGAGAAATCATAAACTGGGACAAAATCTCGCCTTATTCGCTCTCCAATTTGAGTAGCATCTGATGAAGAATCAACCGAACCAAACATAATTTTTGTTCGCATTATGTTATATTCTAATTCATTGGATGGTGAGGTCATTTCTACCGGTGTTAATTTAATTCCATAAGCATCTCGCTCTATCAACTTCTGCTGTTTTTGATGCTCTTCTTGATCTTTATCTTTCGGTTTGCTTCCACGCCACAATGAAGAGAAAAAACTACCTCTGGTACTTTTGTCACTGTCTTTCCTGTTTTCCTTTAAGGTAACATCACCTCCAGTCAACTTCTTTTTCATTTTCAATCCAGTAACTTCTTTACGTGGTTTGTCAGCACCATTTGCTTCATGTATCTCCCTAATCGTTACTCCACCAGTTCCTACAGCTTCAGTTATGTGCGCATCTTTTTCAGGCTCATATTTGGAACTGCTATGAGTTGCAACTTTTGACTCTAAATCACATGGTGGACCACGAAGATGAAATCCTTTCACTACGAAGTTGGATCGTTTACTAATATCGCCTGACACATTTGCTTCATTTGTTTTCAGATCTGAATCCTGCTTTAAATCTTCACCAGCACTTCCCATTTCGCGCTTAACCTTAACTTTTGCTATATATCCAACATAATCACGCTTGTCATATTTTTTCAGACCACTTTCAGTTGAGTCATCGACAGTCTCCAGTGAAAAAATATTTTTCTTGTCCATTAATTTCGATTCCTCTGTGTTTCTTAATTTGCCACTCTCATTAGTCTTTGATGTATGAGATGAAACTCCAGCTACCGTTGTTATCATTTTCTGCTTAGGAATTCCAGGACTACTCAAATTCAATGGCAAGCCATCGGGAAGTTCAGAATCACGTTTAAGATAGATGAACGCGTCCTTTTTCGTCTCGATATTTGCTTTGCTTTGATCTGATGGTGGTAGAGAACTACGATTTAAGGACTCTTCCTCCATATCTATAGAAAGAGCCAGTTTACTCGTTTTAACATTGGTTGACAAATCCTTATCAGTTGCATTAATAATTGGTTTCTTCTTGTCTTTTGTAGTTAATCGAACATCTGCCACTTCATGACATGAATCGAAATTACTAGTGTGATTCACAGGCTCCTCAGTAGAAATATTCATATCGGTAAAGCCAGAGTTAGACTTCTTCGAATTTAACTTGCTTTCTTTGTCTGTTGGTCGCCAAAAATGGAACGGATCAAACTTTCCACGTTTGCCATTATCTTCTCCATACTCTGAAGTTGTAAAAGACTCCTTCTTGAGATAGAGATTTGCATTCATTTTTTTATTTTCATTTTTTATGTGAAAATTACTCTCCGGTTCTTTCACAGAATCCTTCACTAACATTGTTGAAACCATCTGCGAAGGCGATGATGCTGCCTGACTTGCAGTAAAATCAATGGAAACCTCCGGTTCTTGTTGCCGAATAAGATGAGGTTTCGACGAGGCCACCAGTTTCACTTTCTTATCGTCTGAAAAGTCTTCTTTTTCACTGCGCATCGACTTACGCCAAAATGAAAAAATTCCTTTGTGCTTTGATGATTCAGCTGTAATACCACTTTCGCCATGCTCCTTATTAGAAGTAACGTTCATTTTTTCCGATCCTTTAAGCTTTTCTGGATAACAAGCGATTGACGTTGAACTGCTGCTGAAACTTGTACTTGAACTTAAACTTGATTCAGTGCTACTATCACGCAATCTTTTTCCCTTCTTGTAAGAAATTCCACTGTGATATGCTGTTGCGCATTCCCGCAAGGGTGTGAATGGTAGTTCCTTTTCACACTCTAAGTAGCTCATTGGCCCATCATACGGAACAGTAACAAGATTATATGTCTCGGGTTTCACGAAAGACTTCCCCACAATTTCAATATCACCGGAAACTGTACGATATTTGAAAGGATACTTCCTGACCTTTCTTTTTCCCTCTACTGGAGTTTTGCAAACAATCTTTGCTACACATGTGGTTACCTGATCGTCATTTTTTGACAACAGAGCATCGCTATCATTTTGTTGTTCCTCATAATGCTTCACATCAGAGTCATTTACTTTCAGATGTAACGCAGCAATTTTTTTAGCTTTCAAAGTACTAGATTTCTCTTCATTCTTTCGTTTGTTTGTTTTGCGTGCTTTCACATAAGTGCTGCCAGGATGATACACAGCGGAATACTCATGAATTGGCGCAAACTGTAATCCCTTTACATAATTTGTGGATTCCAAAGGACCTTGATATGGTGTACATTCTCGTTTATAACTTTCAGGCTTAATATTTTCTTTCGCGACAAATTCCACAGTACCTCTATGTTTTGCTCTCTTAAACGTCCTATAATTAGGTGGTAGATTTTGTATTTGATTTTGTACTTCCACTGCAAGATGCAGAGGCTGAAATGAAAATTCATTAACTCGAGATAACTTCACTGGAGGAGGTGTATTGTCCAGAATACATTCACTATGTGATTGTTCAAATAGTTCAGTTTTTTTAGGAATTTCTACTGATTTACCAGAAGCTAATATACTGTATGTCGGTCGAATCGTATGCTCAACATCTTTTGATTCTTGAGTGTCTTTGAGAATAGTTTCTTTTTTCAAATTACTTGGTTTAATTTGACCCTCTCTAAGATGCAGTACAGCTTTCATTTTTTGATGGCTGCTTTCATTTTCAACATTCGGCATGTCAGCCAATTTCGTACCTTTCTTAACTTTAATTTTTTGCACGAATTTCTGCATTTCAGAATCCGGTGTGACGCCGACTTTCATCTGATCCAGATATTCCTTTTCTTCCATTTCATGCATGAGATGTTTTCTTTTAACTTCCTCGTTGATTGGTCTTTTTTCAACATCATCAGCATTGGTTAATTCACTTTTATCAACTTCAGATATATCAAGAACTGCTGTCCACTTTTTTCTTTTATCAGTTTGCACCTCTTCATCAGTTGATGCTTCACTCGATGTAGTTTTTTGTCGCTCTTTCTGAATCAAAAACTTTCGGGATTTCTTATCTTTAAGAGTCGATATACCGCTATGATAAACCGTAGCATTTTCATGGATTGGTGAAAATGGAAGCTCTTCTTCACGTCTAATGTTATGTAACACTTCATCATAAGAGGTTGATGGCATCCCATAAGCTCCAGGTCTAACGCGATAACTATCCGAGGCGCTTACGAAAAGACGACAAGTTTGCTTCGGTTCCGCAGAGTCATATACTTTCTCCTTGACATCACTTTTATCGGTTTCAATCCCAACTGTCATAGGCTCACTTCTCTTCAAGTATTCCATCTGTTGAAGTCCTTTTTCAGATGATTCCGCATTGCAATAACTTGCTTGCACGGTTTGTCTTTCATAACCTGGTTGTTTGACATGAATAAACGCAGTTTTCTTTGTTTTATCTTCTTGTTCACTCATAGATCCGGACTTATCAACCGTAGGATCACCGATAATTAATTTCTTCGCATTTTTCTCTGTCTTCTCCTTAACTTTTGCATTTTTTTCCTTCAATAATTTTGCCTGAGATTTTTCGGGCTTTTTATAACAGCTAAGCCAATTTCGTATGTTGCCTTTTTCATCGATGTCTGTTCGATTTGGATCTATAGTATCGTAAAATCCTTGATTATAGACGTAAGCATGAGCACTTAGTGGTTCTGTCGGTAGCTCCCTACTACGTTCAATATGCAAAATAGGCCCCCTGATTTTTTCAGTTGCCGGATATTTTTCCTTATCCACCTTTAGTTTATTCACAACACCATCAGTTTTCAAATATTTCTCACGTTCAGATACTTCGAAATCTTTGTTTCCGCCAATGAAACGCGAGAAACCAGAATGATAGATATCAGCAAAGCGATGTATTGGATAAGCTTCAATGTCTTCTTCTTTTACAAGAATGTTAGTTTCTGCACCATTTCGATGAAATATTTTTCCCACTGATCCCAATTTTGGTCTATGGACTAGCACAAAATCATCATCTAACTCAAGTGGTGGCTCACGAAGTCGTTTACTTCGACTTTCAGTCAATTCTTCCTCATAATGTCCAGGATGATACACAACTGCCTTATCTTCAACTGGTAAAAATCCCGTATCCTTTTCTCTTCGCAAAGCAGATATATCTGGTTTTCTCTCGCATAAATTATCCGATACGTAGCTTGGCTGATGATGAAAATCGTCATAAGAAATTTCTTGCGTGGAAGGACTAGCACCTCGAGTAATTTTTATGGGATATGGAGAAACATCAGACGAAAAAGACTGCTCGAAATACTGACCAGTAACAGTAGTGCCAGTAGTAGTAACAGTAGTAATAGTAGTAGTAGTAGTAGTAGCAATAGTTGTGGTAATGGCAGCGGTATTATCATTAGTAGTAGTCGCAACAGTAGTAAAAATAGCAGAAGAATGAACACTATCAAGCAGTTTTCCTGAAGTATTATTGGTGTTACCCACCTCTGCACCGTTTGGCATTGTGTTATTTTCTCTGTTCTGCGCAGCTTCTATGGTATGTGTTGAAGATATCTTTTCGGGCGAAATCATCTGCTGAAAGTAATCATTATGAGAAAAAAAAAAAGAAAAGAAAATACAGACTTGCAAATATGACAAACAAGATTTATAAAGTTAAGCAAATTGTTCATTAGTAATGAAAAATATAAAAAAATCTTTACTAAATTCAATTTCCTTTAATTTCCGACTTCAACACTATTACTTATCAAATCACTACCATTTCTTCCTGTTTATGATCTCCCAGTTCAGTATCTTATCTAATCAGTGAATGATCATAAATAAAAAAAATTCCAGTATACAGCCCATACTGCTGAAAATCCGATAATCATATAAAAGCTTAACTTTGCACAACATAATGCTCGGAAAAGTCGATATATAAAGAGAACAGAAGGAAAAAGTTGTCGTCATTTTATGAGAAAAGCTCTTCCTTGGGACTATATTTTTCAAGCAAAATAACTTACACTGCTGTCCCATTTTAATTTCCTACCGGTTTCATTCTCGGAATACATCACCGGCAAAGTTCGACTTACTGCAACCGGAACTGCAACTGCAAAAAAAGTGATAAGGACCATTAACTGAATAAAATTCTGTTCGATTCCAAGACTAAGATTACCAAAATATGCTTGAGTCCCAAGGCTGTGATAATGAATTTACAAATTTAAAACGATTATGGAAATTAAAATGCTTCCTTTACTTGTTTTGCAAAATGAATAGATCGCAGTCTTTTGAAACTAAAACAAAAAAAAAAAGGCTATGTTCAACTATGTCTAGAAACAAAATCTTAATTTGCATCCAATTTAGAAAAAATTTTAAACAGTCACCTTACCGTTTTCATCATTTTGAGTTATACGAACACTCTGAGAACGTTGAATTGGCTGACTATTGCAGAACATTTGTGAAGCCATTTTTGACTGGAATTGAGTGCGCCCCTGGTAACGGAATCTAGCCGAACCCCAACGGAATAAGCCCTTATGTGGTTTTTCTTCTGGCTGGATCAATCTGTAACTTTTGTAATCGTAAAAAGTTGTGTAGCAATGATTGGAATGATAGATCTCGTCTTTTATTGACTTGTAATTTAATCAATAAATTATTCCAAATTATTAAATCATTAGAGATGAAAAAAGTCCTTGTTAAGCGGTTTGACGTATAAAATATTATAGGCATAAACTGAATTATAGAATTCCTGAATGAACAAGAAATAAGCAATGAACTGAAAGACTGAATCATCTATTAATAATGGTTATATCATAACACAAACAAAGAGATGATCAAATGGATAAGTAAACCTGAAGAACGTGTGATGTTCAACACCGCATTGCCAAACTCGTTTTGCTGCTTCGTAATCGGGTAATTTGAAAGCAGACGTTGCTTCATTTTTTTCGAGCTAGAAAAAACTTAGATTGATTTGAATAACTTTAAAGCTAGAAAAAACTTATATTGATTTGAACAACTTTAAACAATTTTTTGATCTTTGGAAAGGAATTCAAAAAATGTTTACTAAACTTAGTTTCCTTTTTCCAGCCAAGAAAATATCGCGAAAACTCACTTCACCAGGTTTAACTTTGATTATGAAGATATTGCGTCGATAACCAATTTTGATGATGTTCTGCCAAAGAAAACGATGTACACGGATCTGATCAAGATATACATTTATTCCATGGGCACTGATGCCAATCTGTACAGGCGTACCTTTTCCATCCTAAAAAGATAGGAAAAAATTCACACCTTTCAACAAATATTCGTTACTGCACCATTTATTATTAGTCCGTCCATAAACCGTCATTTCACAATGACGAACTCCTTATTTTACATTTCCAAATCCAAAAGCGCAACCATAGAGAACATAACTGTGTGAAAATCACAAATTATATAAAATGAAAAAGCCAGGCCCACTCCATTTCCTATCTCTCAACATAGACTGTTCAGTCACTAAACATTAAATCACCTACGTAATTTACCCACTGTTTTATTCGAGAATTACTTAATTCCCAGCTTATTTCCAACTCATACGATCCACTATACATAGCCTCTTGCTCATTTCAAGCTCATACGATTCACTATATATAGCCCTATTTCGAACTATACCAACCATTTTAGGCAAAATGAACGGAAATTTTGTAGAAAAGCATTTTAAGCAAATATTCTGAAAATGATTAAGAAACGGCACTGCTCAAACCTTTGCATGGAAAAGTTGAACACCATACATACTCAACTTTTTGGCATTTTCCAGATAATGTAAATCCGCTTCAGCCGACGTTTCGCCTCTACAAATTTTGTGTTATTGAAAATCGAACGAAATCAAACTATCTTATGAACCAATTGAAATTCTTTTAAACATTCTTACAAAGTATCAAGTTTAATCAGTAGCAAATGTAAAGTTAGTTTCCCCTGCACGTGTTGTTTAAAATTTGGGCAGTAATATTCTCTTCCTGGAAAATATTTTGGAAAGATACAACAACATGAATCATGATAAATCTTGCTGAAATATCCATTGTTGGGATGAATAAAACAAAGGAAAGAAACCAAATAGATTTACTTGTGCTGTTTATGCAGTTCTTCAACTTTTTCATACAGTGTTTCATTTGGTAAAGGAGCCAAATGGCAACTTCTGAGGAAATCAATATATTGCAATGAAGGCTCGTAATCCCCTCGTACAGATTGAGCGACGTATGAACCCAATAAAGCGTGTGTAGCAAGAGTAGCTGGAAGCCTGGAAATTTACAATAATTTAGGAAACTTTTAAACTTAACGAAAAAAAAACTGCGGGAATTTCAATCAAAAAACAATGAATTGCATAAGTTATGCGATAAAATACTGACTTGCCAGTAGAAATATCATGCCGAATTTGCAAGGTTAAAAGATGACGTGTCCTGTCCTCCGCCAATGTTGCTGGTTCCGGTGGATAAAATTTCACTTTAAAATTGAAGTTCCATGGACGACCTGAAATAAATTTGACAATTACAATCGTGTTTTTCAAAAATCATAAATCTAATGTATGACAAATCCAGAGCAGGATTTGATTTCATGTCAAGCGCGACCTTCATTGTAATCAGTTAAGGTAATGGATAAGACAAAAAATATTTGTCCGTATTTAAAATTGTAAAATCATTGTTATGATAAAATGGTCCCCACAACCCGCCAAACTCTTTGAATTTGGAATTACTTAGATCTCTATGTAGTCCTAGGAGTGAATTTCACAACTAATAAAAAATAATGAAGCAAATTAAATAAGAGAAAAAAAGGAAAGTAAAAGAAGAAAAATCATTAATATCCATACTGTCTTCCACTTTTCCCACAGCTCACCAGGTATTAAAGAATGAAGTTTATACGTCTCATAATTGGGTCTTAAATCTTAATCATATGATCACTATTTTCCGGATATCTTAGTGGTTTACCCAGCGTTTTCATCGCGTCAAACTTTTAGAGCATAGTATTATTTTATTTTTTTAGGCATGATATTATTTTACCATTTTCTGAACCTTGATTTATTTTCTCAATTATAAAGCAAACGTTGGTGTATTATGAAGAGAAATTTGAAATCAACAACATCGCAGACCAAACTGTGAGAAGTTAATAAAGGAATATCATTTTGAAATTGCTGGTTAGGAAGGACAATCTATTTTGAAATAGGATATATATCTTTCAGATCAGAGATCATAATTACAGACGTCAAACTATCAAACCAAAAATAAGTTCAGGCATAAAATGCTACAAAATTTGCAGCTCTCATAAGGTTACTTCCACAAAAATGAAAAAAACAAAGTCGATAGAAGTTTAAGAGAATTTTTTTTCTTTTGTGGTAAGCAAGAAAATTTCTTCCTGACTATGCCTTATTTTAATACTATAATATGATCTTTCATGCAAATAAAGGGTTGACGGTATTATACAAGGACTGCAGAATCAAAGAAACACTGTAAGCTTTTGAAAATTGATAAGCAACAAGCAATTCCTTTTCAATTTGTAAACCAAATTAATCATGAAAGTGTTTGTTTATTGAAATCATTTAAACGTACCTTTTAACTGCTTTGAAATTCGCTTATCATCATAGATCCATTGCTAAAAAAATATGAATGTCGAGTACATACAATGGAATTGTTATGCTTATAAAACCAGCAAATCATAAGGGGATTTTTGGAACAAAGGAATTTGAACAAATTTACTTAAAGGCTAGATACAATTATCCATACTATTCAAAATATTCAATCAGCTAAAATTCATGCAGGAAATGGAGGATAACGGATAGAAGAAAACAGAGAGAAGAAGCTTGACTGGCTTATGGAAAGAGATGTGGCATTATAACTTATGCCATATCTTATCAAAAAATGAATAGATCCGCCTTACTTTATCAGTTTCTTTCATCATCCACAGTAACAATATATGTAAAAAAATTAAAAGACTGAAAAAAAAATCAATCTATAGAAAACCTTGTCTGAAGATATTTTTATTTGAACTGCACACTTTTGGTCATTATATTAACAAAAAATCAATCAAAAAACATGTCACACTAATATCAGGAAGTGATATATGAACTCACTTGGTTGCCATCATCATCGGCAAAAGATAATCCGAAGTAATCTTTTTCAGCGAGACCAAGAAACGCACACACTTTATCAAACAGCTCACCTCCATCAGCTTTTTTCTAAAGAGATTTCAAGTAAATCATTATAAAAGTTCTGAAGTATATCCATAGCATAAAAAATCTGAAATTCTCTATTTTAAGTTAAAAATGCAATAAATCAAGAACTCAGCATCACTTTCAATGACTGCAGATATACAATTTCGATAACTAAAAAAAAAGAAAATGAAATAAAAAACTTAAGAACACATATAAGTTGATGCTTCATTTATGAATCATATCTAAATGCAAACAAAAGAAAACGGAAAGAAAAAACACTAAAAGGAAACATACATAATTCAGCCACAAAAAATGGAACTGATATAACTGTTTAAAAAAAAATCAATTTTTCCACAAAAGACAAAATAACAAAAAGTGCAACTGATTTTAGGTTGTTATTAATGCTTTGAACTATGATGCTTTAAAAGTGAGAAGTTTATGTTGCATTAAAATTCGTTTAAATAGATAAATCTGTTTGAAAATGATTTCAAATGATCAAAATAAATAACTAACCGATACATAAAAGATATGTTTGGTGGAATCGAGAAATTGTACCGTTGCGGGTTGCTGATCCATCGTTTGTTGAATATTACCAATCTCACCTTCTGTTGTCTTCTTACCCATTAGTTCTGCAAAGAAAAAAAAAAAAAAAAAATAGAATGAAAAAGAAACTATTTGATTACTTATTTTCAATCAAAATACGAAGAAAAATAAAGGAAAAAAGAAAAAAAAAGTGAAGATCAAAAGGAAAGCGACATACGACACTGGAAAAGACCCTTCAATCATTTTAAATAATGGAGTATACTTTCATTTGACTTAAAATGATGTTTACAGCACTTTTATAATTACGAATAACAACATTTAACTAGCTAATCCTTAATGCATCGCTTTTTTTTTAATGAACATTGCAGTGTTTATCTTCTGGAAAGAGTGAAAAAATAAAAACGATTTCGAAGAATAATAACTATAATAACCTATACAAAAGAATAATAACTAAAATTTGACAGTTATTTCTAGCATATGTTATGTGTCACATAATTCAACTTTTATGAAAGTAAGCAAGGAAAAAAAAAATTACTTAATGAATTTTAACATGTCAATTCAGTTTTTAAATTTTGGTTTATAACAGAATAATTGAATATAAAAAAAGAAAAAATAATCATCCCTAAGAAAGAAAGAAGGAGGGAAAAATAGCAATATCAAATTCATTCATTCATTAGATAAGCTTATGACAATAGCCTATTTTCAACAAATATAAATTAACGAAGTAAAAAAGAGAATAAAATCAAAAAAATATGGAAAATATTTGATTGGCAACGTATAACAGATACTACTCTATCGTAATTAATAAGCCTTGTTTTATAAGGAAAAAAAAAAAGAAAAAAAGTGGAATTAGATTATAACAATCTCGAGCGGAGAAAAAAAGTACAAGAGAAGAAAATAAATTTTAAATAAGAATGCATCAAACATGATTAATAAATGACGAATATCATGCGAATGAGGGAGATGAAAAAAGCGCTCGATTAATTATTCTTCACTAGTGTATACTGTAAAAATGTATATGTATACATATATATATATATATATATATATATATTGAGTGATACTTGTAGAATGACAACATTAATGTCTGTCAGAAGGACATTGCAACCGATGAAATGCTTTATCAGAAGAATATGAATCATATCAGATGAAACTAGGATGCCTAAGAAAGAAAAGACAGAAAGATATGAAATGATGTAGAGATGCTTATAAAAGGTATTATATTATTGTTCAAATTTAGAGTCATAAAATTAGAATCATAAAAAGGAGACACATTATTTGATACATTCTTAGATAACGAATACATTTGACTAATAAAAAAAAAAATTAATCATAATAATGTTTTATTAATGGCACATCATATATTACTACATATTTAAGATTATCATTAAATTTTAACAAGTAAGCTACCCGCTCATATAGATTCTAATATTAATAAGTTACCTATCCATTACATATTTAAGATTATCATTAAATTTTAACGGGTAAGTTACCCGCTCATATAGATTCCAATATTAATAAGTTACCTATCCATTACATATTTAAGATTATCATTAAATTTTAACAAGTAAGTTACCCGCTCATATAGGTTCTAATATTAATA